TCAGGGTATTTTTCCCTCCTCTCTTGTTGGAATATTAAAGCAGACAACAAATACGGAATGTACAGAGAGTTTTTTTTTGGGGGGGGGCAGGTGAAACCGTGAGGGAAGGGAGGAGAGGGCAGGCCCTGGCTGGGTCATTGATTCTTCAGGGCCATGGACGCTGCAGGATAAGAAGACTCCGATGCTTAGTCGCTGTGTGAACACAGGACGCAGGCCTCAGAGGACAAGGACAGTGGAGGGACCAGAGAAAGAGGAATGCGAACTCTCCATGTCCTGCTCCCTGTGAGGCTCCCACCAAGTCCCCGACACACATTGCTGTGCCTGAGGCTCCTGCCCAGTGCCATCCCCCCACTGGACTTGCACTGTGTCTGCAACAGGAACAGCAGGACCTCAGGGTCATGTCCTTGTTCCTTCTAGAACTCTCTTCTTCCTACCTCCATATGCACACTCACGCACAGTTGCCCCAGATTAACTAATGTCCTCTTCACACGGAGGATCCTGGAGGCCCAGGTCCTCAAGCCCTTTAGAAAAGCACCTGTCTGCTACAGGTAAAGCCACCTTGCCCCACTGCCACTGTGAGCAGAGTCCAGCTGTGCTCTGGGTCTCAGACTCTCCATGGCCTCTGCTCTAATGGAAATGGTGACTGCAGAAGCAGCCATCCTGACACAGTGGGTCTCTGAAAGGTCAGAAGGACAGGGCGACCCTGTTGCTCAGCCCCCTCCCACAAACACACAGGAACTGACCTCAGTGCAGACAGCATGGATGTCTGCTGACCTGGGAAGTCCCCTGGGAGAGCTGAGGGAAGGGAACCAGGAGCCACGCAGTATTCACCTCCTTGGACAGCGGCTGACCCACCTAGGAGGGGGACAACCCCAACCCCAGGGAGAGAGTTGGGCTCAGCCAGCTTGCAGAGACAGGTACTCTGGAGGGCAGTGAAGGATGCCAAGGCTAAAGACCACACTCGGGTTCCTTTTCACTATTTCCAGGTCATGTGCATGGGCTGGTGATGTGACTGGGCCGATGGCTATGTGACTTCTTTAACATTCAGGAAGGACCCTGAACCTGCTTGAGTCACATTAGTAGATGATGCCCCAACAACCTACAGGCAATGCGTCTCTGGTGCATTACCCACGGGGCTTCAGGCCCAAAGCTGTTTCCGACTATAAGGCAGGTGATTCAGCCATATTGCTGTGACCATGACTATACTTCCTGGCTCTTGGCTCCACACAGAGCTAAGTGACAGTCCCCTGACGTCCCTCTTCAAAGTGAAGCAGTCCAAACCCCCTCTTTGTCCCTATACCAGGACATCAGCAGTGTTCCCTTTCATTCCAGGTTCATAGGCCTCTTGCCTCCGTGCTGGCAGAGGTATGACTCAGCCTCCATCCTCAGGGCTCTGTGCACAAGCTGGAGGGGCCACAATCCTCAGGGGGCCCTTACTTCACCCCTGGCCCAACATCACCTGTGACTGCAAATGCTGGTGGCCCTGAGCAATGGCATAAGGCCTGGCACTGCCTTGTTCCTGGGGGTGGTACCTTTCTGATGGTAGAAAACGGAATTCCTTAGCCTCTCCCCCACAGTGGGGACCATTCTCTCTGCAACCAGGAGCAGAGACAGTCACTGTCTCAGCCTCTGTGGGTTTCTCCCATGCAGACACCTCAGCAAAACACCACACTTAGATATTCCTGGCTTCCTGCTTTTGGATAACACAGTATCATCCATTCAGATCAGCACCTCTCCACAGCTACGGTGGCCCAGGAGACCCTACAGTGTGTCCAACATACCTAGGGTTGCCCAGCCCGTGGTCCCCTCCGTTTAACATGGACTCCTGATCTCCTTATCACTTAGCCTGAAGAATGCACAGACCCCAAGCATAGCATGCTCCTTCCAAGAGCCTAACACTCACTAACTCCTGAACTTTGGCCACTGCACCTCATCACAATTGAGCCTAGATCACCATGGCCATCAAGAAAGATTCAGGGTCATTTCCCATAGAGATAATAACATTTACATTTTCTCCAATAATAAAACACCCCCTTGCTTTACTAGATGTCATGCATTCTGCCCTCCAACATTTAATAGGAACCACCCCTTGGGGACAGACTAAGCTACAATACCTGAGGGCCAGACAGCTCAGTCCTGCAGACAAAGAGCACGTACAAGGGGCTCTGGCTGGACTTACTTTCCCAAGCAACATGCAGCCGTCACAGAAGCTCGGGTTTCACCAGTTTTAAAGGTTGCTTACTAGCTCACCCCACCCCTAAGCCATGGAGATGATGGCTCTTAGTCCCACAGGTGACTCAGCCTGGGTCACCAGACACGAAGAGGCAGCCCTCAAAGAATGGATACTGGCCACACTAAATGATGACCATATGGAAGTACCATTAAAGGCCTGGCCTATGCCAGAGGAACAGGAAGCCACTAACAAGTGTTGGTCCCTATGGATGCTGACAGGGAGCACTGCGAAGACAGCTCAAAGTAGAGGAAGGCGGCATTGTTTATGGTGGGCCTTGCTTGGAATCTTCTGTGCAGTGGGGTGATGGTGATGCTGTTGGGTGCCCGACTGGTAGTTTGTAAAGACAGGCCTTCCAGGTCTGCTGTAGTACCCCAGCCTACAATCCCAGGTATGCTGGAAAGCTGGTAGAGGGAGGAAGAGAGCCCTGGATTTCAATCCTTACTCCCTAAATGGGCCCTCTGGCTCCAATCCATAAACACAGCCAGGGCTCTGCGACCCCAGCTCAAATCTTACAAATGGGCAGCCGGCCCTCTGATGGCCAGGCTCTCCTCTGCATTGATCAGTGATGCTGTACAGCACACAAACCCAGACTCAGGGCCCCAGGCTAGGAGCTTCACATGAAGAGATCCCAGAGACTTCCTGTGCAGTCATCCCAGTCTCCGGGATGTGCACAAGCCACCAACAGATGCCACATATGATCAGGAGCACCCTGTGTGACTCAGGAGCACCATAAAGCCTGCACCAGCAAGACTCACAGCAGTTAACAGACTTGTGCAGCCCTGGCAGCAAATCAAGGTGTTCTCGCCTCAAAGGCTTGCATTAGGCAACAGATACCCAATGCTCCACTTCCCTTCATGAAGATGACCCCCACATCCAGATGACTAAACATCTACATCCATGAGACTATTGGTGGAATGTCACTGCTTCACAGCAAGGTGCGCCATACCAAGAGGTCATTGAGGGAAACAGGTGCCTCACCAGAATGGAGACAGCAATGAATCTCACTCACTGCTCACTTAAAACCTCTTCCTATTTCTGCAGAGGCTGGGGACATCTATAGCCAGAGGAGGCAGTGCAGGTCATGTCCAGTACCCCTGACTTGCAGTGGCACATACCTGGGCTCATGCTCTCCTAAATACCTAGAACATGACCCCACAGAATGGCATTTTCTGAGACCACTGTTTGCCTTCAGTGAGGCCCCAGTAGCTATGCCCCCTACTGTAAGGAAGCCAAAAGGCCTAGGCCAGTTGGGAAGCTGCCCTGTAGTTATGCAAAACTCGTGGAACTGGGAGACCCACACATTACAACAGCCAGTCTAACTGGATTTCCCAATAAGGCCGCTCTCTCCTGCCTCAGTGGGGAAACACTTAGGGATTGGAGTTGCTTTATGTTCTAACGTCTGGGGGCCACCAGAGGTTGTAACAACTGCCAGGATATCCCTCTTGCACACACCACCAATGTTCCTCTCCACATCCACATTTTGCTGGGCCCCTCCAGGCAGCAACAAGGACCCGAAACCATCATCTGAGACCCCGTTACTCATATGGCCCTGTGCTGTACTGAGACCTGCGCCCAGATTCCTCAAACATCTGCTGGCCCCACACAACACAGACATGCTAGGTCCGTGCAGTGTAACCTCCCTGAAGACCTGGTCTTCATTATCTGACACAGGACTGAGGCCTTCAGCCTCTCTGCGACTCACACATTCCTGCAAATTCTTCAGTCTGATGTGTCCACCTTCACAGAGATAAAGCAAAGCTTCTGAGATAGTCCACTAGCCTCAATATAAGCACAACCCCAAGGCCTAGAGGGTCACTCACTGTATTTGAATTTAGTAAGCTTGACATGGGTACTTAGTATTTCAGGGGTTGTGAGATTCATTTCTCCTTTCCACGAACCTGGTCCCACTTACCACACCAGGAGGTGGCAAGAGATGGTAAGGAACATTAAATAGACATAAATGTTACTCTTCACCATCTTACATATAACAGGTATTTTTATATGTTCATTTTTGCCAATTGAACCCAGGACTCATGCAAACTAGGCAAGTGCTTTTCCACTGAGAGATGCCTTGAGACTGTTCAGCTCCAGTTTGGGTACAATGTCTTTGAGCACACAACCCCAGGAGAAAAGGGCTAAGGACAATCTTTCTACCAACTTGGCAGCCTCCTTGAGGGCCATCAATCTGATGAGTGCTTGGCCCAGATGCTGCGACAGTCCTTTACCCCGGCCTTTCTACTGGCCAAACAATTAGATGCTGGATTCTTTGGGAACTGCATGCTGCATGCACATCCATCAGTCAGGGAGACTCCAGTGTGGTCTGCCCAGCTCCACAACACAGGCAAGACTGGCATACGAGCTCACCCGGGTCCCAGGCTCCCCACTATGCCAAAAACTCTAATTGGCTCTCCTGGTGAGACCCCAGCCACTGGGAGGCTGATCCAGAGTTTATTCTAAGCCCTCTTGGGTGGTCTTGCCAATCTTATCTTAGTCATCTTAGAAAAGCATGAATATGACCTGCAGACTATGATTTCCTGACACCTTTTAATGTTTCTCTGCTCTGGGTGCTTCAGCCTCAGCCACAGGGTCTACCACCTTAGGAGGAAGGGAGAAAGAGCTTGGTCACCACCTAGACCAGGCAAAGACAGCTGGACAAAGGGAAGATGGCCCTTTGGGCCCCTCTTCTGACCCTACCACCACAACTAATTGTTCAATCGCCCTTGTGCAAGAGATGTTGGAAATGCCCAATAGAAACACACAGAGATGACGACACCCCACCCAGTGCCCTTTAAATAGGGGAAGTGTGTCCTGTGAGTGTGTGGCTGCTGTGGATGCAGGAGACCTGGGACTCAGGACTGCTCTCTGCCTGCTTCAGTCGCCCAGCCTCGCTGAGGATCTGTGAGTAACTGAAAGCTCTAGAGCTGTGCCCTCTGCTCACCTCATTGGCCTGATAGCACTTCCTCTGTGCAGGATCCCCATGTGGGAGGCCCTACGGGGGTCCTCTGCAGGCCCCTGGGAGCTGCCCAGGGGTGTACCTCTCAGCTAAGTTACTGAGGAGCTCAAAGGCTCCAGACACGCACTCTATGGGTTCTGTCCTGCTCAGAACAGTGGCTCCTTCAAACATTCCCTGATTTTGAGAAATGTCCACTGACGTCTGCTGCTCACGTTTCAACCAGGTCATTTGGTTTGGCTACTGACGTGCTCTGTTGCCTGTGTCTGTGGACATGAATCCTGTCTGAACTCCTGCTTTCCCTGTGTTTTCTCCACTTCCTGGTGTGCTTCCTCATCCAGCTGGTGGCTTCCTGTGTGTGGAAAGCTGCCTGGTCTGAGGCCACCCCATAGTTCCACCTTGGCTTCTGTTGCCTCTGCCTTTGGTGTCACAGGCAAGACCTCACTGCCCAGTCCAGGGTCAAGAAGGCACCTCTACGTGTCCTTCCAGTCGTCCTGTGTTCTCAGGTCTTGTGTTGAGGTTTTAAATCCATTTGATGTGAGATAAAGGTCCAATAATGTACATTCTACATCAGGTGGTGCACTTTAGACACAGGTTCTAAGTAGCCACTGCTTGCTCCAAAAGATGGAAAACATCACCAGGCTTCAGCTTAGGCCGCTCTCTGCCCAGGATCCTGCTGAGCTCCTGTCACCCCTGATGAGGCCACTGTGAGCGCCACTCCTGCTCAGGCAGGAGCCTGCTCACCCCCTGACCTCAATACCCCCTTCAGAGGGTGACACAGCCCTGAGCCCTGCTCAGGAGAGCTCACCTTCTACTCCTCTGTGCTCCAGAGGATCTTGCTTTTCAAATATTAAAAAGGAAACATTTGATCTAAAGGGAAATAGGAAATCTAAGTGGGAAATAGAAAACCTTAGCAGAGTGTTATTCGTCATTGTCAGTTTGCCTTGAGGACCTCAAGGACAAGGCTCCCCCTCCTCCCATCCAATGGAGACACAGCCACGGGCTGTGAATCTGCTCCTCACACACCTACAAATGCAGCCGATGTCTTCCTCCACACTCTCAGGACCCTGCCTCCAATCCCCCAGGTGACTCCAGACATGAGGACCCTCGCCCTCCTCGCTGCCCTTCTCCTGCTGGCCCTCCAGGCCCAGGCTGAGCCTCTCGGAGCAAGAGTTGAGGAGGCCCCAGACCAGCAGCAGCCAGGACAAGAGGACCAGGTGGCAACTATCTCCTTTACAGGGGATGAAAACTCGGCTCAGGATGCAGGTGAGAGCTGCCTTCCTGTAGGACACACAGAGTACAAAGGCAGGACGGCAGATGGGCCCCAGACTCAGGCCAGCCACAGTCACTGAAGTGACTTCACTTAAGCCCCATAGCTCTCAAATTTCTCATTGAACAGTGAGTGCCTGATAACTCTTGGCAGAGGATTTTTTTCCTGCGAAAACCTTATATTCCAAGATAGGTTTGTGCAGACACTAGGTCTAGTACGTGAAGACACTTACTGACCAGTCCTTTCTGGATCTTAGTCACAGGGAGACAATTTTCTTCTTTCTCTCAGAAGGAACATTTAGGAATGGGAAATGTGTATGAAGGAGTATTCAGTCATATGTGTGATGGGGCAGGAGTGAAGGCAGGCGAAAGTGTGTGCCTGACCATGTGGGTGACCTCAGCTTGCCATGTGCCTTACTCCAATAGGCTGAGTCTGCACAGGCCACTCTCTGTAATGCACTTACAGGAGAAACCTCCCCACCCAGTCTATACCTCCCCAGACTCTCCTCCTGCCCATCACTGATTCTGACACTTTCTCTGTGTCTACAGGTGTAAGGGCAGGAGAGGAGTGCACCTGCAGAAGACCCTCATGCAATGCTGGGGAGAGCGTCTCAGGAAGCTGCATAGTGAATGGCGTCTTTTACCTGCTTTGCTGCAGTTAAATCACAATTTGCTTTGACACCTAGAAGGCACCTGCTGTTTCACTGTGCCATGTCATCAATTCCCTCCCAGCCCAAATAAATTCCTTGCATCAATCTCTCTGTGCATTTGCTCCTTGCTGTGTGTCCCATGAGCACTATTTTGGGTTATTGACAATGAATGCACTTTAAACAAAATCCAGGCTTCATAGATGGGATTCCAAGGTGAACACAGGTTCAGACAAGGAGTGGTGAGAACGCTGAAATGCAGCTGGTGCCCCTGATTCCCTCTCCTGTCTCTGAGCTCTGCCCTCACTTAGAGTGGACTCACTCTCAAAGACTCTCCCATGTGGTGGCAAAGCAATCACTGTCTGATTCCAGTTTGCCATTACACCTTCTAGAGAAACCGCCTTCTCTCTTCAAAGTGTGGGACTTTTCCTGAACACACTCAGGGCAGGATCTGGTTTTTAGGCTCTGCGCTGCGGAGGCTCCACACGGACAGCTCTAGGAGTGGAAGGAAGGGTTCTTAGTGGGGACAGCCCACATAGGAAGAAAAGCAGAGTGCCCCTCAGGGTGACTCACTCTTGTCCCCACCATGTAGCACACTAGTGGAGCTGGGTTGGGCACACAGAGCTGGGTTCCAGAGGCACACCAGGCACCAGCAGGACTCAGCCCCACCTGGCCCCAGGCACCCGGGTGGATGCTTTCAACTGTGGGAACCTGACTCTGCCTGTAAAGTGCAGCTTCCAAGGAGACCTAGAACTGAAGGGGTCGGAGGCAGTGACCAAGCCACCCAGAGTTCACGGCCATGCTCCAGGGTGCTGAGGGGTTGAGCCTCAGAGCTTCGGGCAGGGCCACTGAGGGCAGGATCTGGGTGTGGGGAAAGGAGGGCTGGAGCAGGGCCCCCAGATCCCAGGGTCTGGACCAGCATGGCCAAGCTCCCTGCTGCCCTGTGAACCACACAGCCACCCAACACACACACACACACACACACACACACACACACACGACCCCACCCTTCCCTATCTTGTCCTCCTCTTCTCAACCAAGATGTCATGCTCCTGCTTAAAACCTGTGTCTCTAAAGGGCCAGCTCTATCTTGGTGAGGTGATATGTGACTCTCACTCTTGTGGGTCCTCTCCTTCCCTCCCCAAGAAAAACCCCTGTCCTCTGGGCAGTTTGTCCCCAAGTCCACCCCACAAGAGCCCCTGGGAGATGGCCAGTGTGAGCCCATGAGTCCTCACCTGACTCCACCCAGTACTTCCCAAGGGATCCTAGAGCACAGACAGGACTGGAGATAGGGGTGCCAGGGCATCCGTGGTACTCCTGCTGTCTATCATTAGTAGATGGTCCAAGACCTAGAGCAACAGAGACCATAGGTAGCCGAAAGGGAGCCAGTGACACAAGTGGAATCATTTGCAATCTAGTAGACACTGAGATGGGCCCAGACATGGCAGGGACCACCAGAGTGAACCCATTCCCAGAGAGCCCAAGGAAACAGGTCCTCTTCCCTCATGCTCTCCACTGGATCTCTGAGGTCTGTCTTAGCCCATATAAGGGTCTTCCTGTGTGAGATGGCCAGAACTGGGCTCCACGGACCACCCACAGCTGGGGATGAAAGGCAGCTTTCATCCACTACAAAGACCCTTCTCAGGTGGACGACATTAGGAACTGCAAAAGTTTTCATCCAATACCCCTGACACTCAAGTCTACCTGGGCTCTCCTCTACTTGCAGAGTCATCAGTGTCATTTGGGCCAATGCAAAGTTGAACAACAATTTGACTCCAGCACACGTGTTGGCTCTGGAGCCTTCCTGTGCTGTCCTATTCATAGATCTGCATGCCGAGTGGGATGCAAGCCCACAGGATCCATGCTCTCCACCAGCCTGGCCATATCATGCATCCCGGCCTGCATTGGCTGCCGCCTTCCATGCCTCTCAGCATTATTTATCATAACCTAACCTCTGTGTATGTGCTCAACTGTGTCCTGTGGGGATTCTCTTCTATCCTGCATGCCAAGAATACCATGGGTCCTGGTCAACTCCCCCTTCTCCCTGGGAAGGGTTCCGACCTATAACAATTGGGTTTCCCAAATGGGGACCTTTGGAGACACTGAATTGGGTCCATAGACACAAACACTTTCCTTTAGCCTTGACTAGGATGCATTCTGTTCTCTCCTGGACATAGAACCTCTTCCTCCACTTCCTTCATTGACTGAGGGGCTCTGGGGCTCAGACTGAGCAGAGCTGCATTCACCTAGCAGGTGTTTCCCATATTCCACAGCCCAGAGCCACCCATAGAAAGACTCTTCCAGGCAGACAGTTTCTCTCTAGCAGCCCAAAGTGGATTGAAAGACACTGTTGCTTAAGTGTCCATGTGCCCAGGGTCACTCTTTGGAACTTGCATGTAGAGAAGAACCCAAGAGGACTTGAGCATCAGCTGCATTTAATGGAGAAGAACTGGGCTAAGTAAAGTCATCCTCAGGAGACTGCTCTCACCTGTGGAGGGAAGCTGCCTCCTCGTCTCCACCATCAATGACTAGTGGAATTTCCTGCCTGACCTCAAGTGGAAGAGAGACACATCCCCTGCTGACATGGTTTCCAAAGAGGGAATTTTCCATATACTCACGTGAGCAGTAGTCCACCCAGCACACCCACTCCCTTGGTGTCAGATCCACAATACCTTCTGAGAACTTAAGGAGATGAGAAAGCTTTGGGTGTGACCAGTTCACAGCCTGGAGTGCTGAAGGGGGCCTGTTCTCCAAAGACTCTTTGTGAACACCAGAAGTGATGAAGCAGATTCATTACAAGGATGGTTCAAGTATATTTAGGGAGGTCCAGTTGCTTCATAAACTTTCAAGTAGGGCAGCAGGCAAGCTGTAATGGGATGCACTTGGATCTCCTCTCACCAAACAAACAAACAAAAATAACTCCAGAAAAAGAATTCTAGCTGCTTAAGTGTGAGCACGCATTTGTTTGTGTGGGGTGGGGTGGTGATGGGTGTTCGTTTGTGTGTGAGTGTGTTTGTGGACATGTTCTTGTGCACATTCCTATGCATGTGTCAGTGTGTTCATATGTACTTTCAGTTATGAATGGAGCCTTCTAATATTACAGGCTAACAATGCATTGAGTTGGTATTCCTTCAAAACGATTCATGAAAAACAAACATTTTCATTCTTTCTTCAATTCCATTATTTTGACTTCTTTCCTGATAGATTTTCATAATGGGAAAATTTTGAACTGGAAAAATGTAGCTAGGTTAGAATTGATTCTACCCATTATTTCAAGAACTATGAAAAGATGGGGCTGGGGTTGTTGCTCTGTTGCAGAGGTCTGGCCTCCGACTCATGGGTGAGTGTGTTTTGATTCTAACCCCTGCTCATACATAAATGCATAAACAAAAGGTCCATGAACAAGTAAAAATATTTAACAACAAAAAAGGAAAACCTCTAAAGGGACTGTGGAGTAGAGGCTGCATTCACTTTTCTGTGATATTGGAGATTAGCAAAGCTACTGAATTACCAGGTGTTCTGAACTGTGCACCCATAGGCCTGTGTATTGAGATGTGCAAATCTGTGTGCAGGAAATCCATGGTGACCTATAAAGAAAGTGACACCAGCACAAGAGCCCTGGTAGAGTGCTGGAAAATCCTGCAGGTCAGGGACCCTTGAGACTTACACAGATGTAGTTTTTCTCTGCAGCAACATTTCAGGATTGGCCCAGCTGAGGGCCTGAGGGGATGCCCTGGGGGCGGGTGCAGGGAGCTGAATCCAGTAACACACCCTTTTCCTCCAAGGGAGCTCACCAGATTTGGATGAGAAACCAGGGACATCAGCCCTCAGCAGCAGGCTCTCCTTCAGCCCTGTGGTCATTCTGGGCACTTGCATGTCCACAAATGTCATTCCAAACACAGCATAAAAAGAAATACTCTTCAATGAAAAGGTAGAGTCAATGCAATTCAGAACTTATATATGTCACATAAAGCATGGAAGCATTGGGCAGCATTTCTTTGAATTCTGAAATCCTTAAGTTAAAATGGGAGTGTTAAGAAAAAAAATCTTTGATACCCAGAGAGTCAAACTTGTTAAAACTCCAATGCCCTTAGTTTAACTGGCCTGTGCCATCTTCCCAGCACCTCAAAGTCATTCAAACTATGGATTTTGAACCTATGTAAAGGAAAGTGCTGACTCAGAAAGACTGGAAAATCTTCCTTCTAGGTAGAGCATGGAAATCAAAGGTGTGAGACACTGAATTTTGGCCTAAAATTGCACCTGTGGTATTGAAGGATTCCCTAAGATGATGTGTTGCATCACATGATCCTGGGGCCGGATAGAAATTCAAAGAAGCCACCTTCCCTCACTAGTGGAATTACAGTTCCTATATATGCATTTATTAATTTGAATAACCTTGAATATGTTATGAATTGTTCTATAGAATCCAGAGTTATACAATGATCATGATTTTGAAGTAGAGGTATGCATTTTTATACCACATGCATACCTTGCTTTACACCAAGGAAACACTCTGAGATTTTTTTTTTCATTTTTGCTGTTTTTGTTAGCAGTGGTTCTCTAAGTTTCATTGTGTCCCTTTTGAGTCTCATTCCCTTTCAAAACTACTTCACCTAGAAGTCAGATCTATCCTCATGGACATAGGAACTGTCACTCAGGATCTGTATTATAAAAGCATAAATCAATGAAAGTTGCTTTCCATTTTGAGGAGTCAGTGGCACCATCCTGCTAATCCAATGCTTATAATTCCATGTATCAAAAACAGGTTAAATACTAGGGTCATCAAGGTAGTATCATGCCGGTTCACATTAATTTATATCAAGGATTTTCAGAAATGATGCTTACATATGATGACAGGGGATCAGGATGAAACCTTCTTACTCAGTTTGCTAGTTTCCTAAGGTGTTATGTGAAATCTTTGAAATCGTGTTTTATATTCATCTTCACTAGCTGTGATATCCCTGCTTTCAATCATGGATATATACATAGGAAAGAGATAGATATTTATAAATTGTAATTATAATATATCCCTTCAAATATCATGAATTTCATGGGTGAATTTTAATTTTCATTCTTAAGATTTGAATTCACCATGTTTTTGCCAGAAG